GACGATAAGATAGGGGTGCGCGAAACGACGTACGCGACACCTAGGGTTAGCAAGAACGCGGCCGCTAAGGCAATAAGGCCCCGCGTAACTATTACGCTAACGAGCAGGTACCGGAGCCTCTAGTCGAAGAGCCTATATCTATCTTATAGCCGCGTTTACACTTACGCCTACGATCTAGCTTACGCTACTTAGCGAGGCTAGTAAGCCCGCACTCCGTACCGGCGTACTTTAACGACTAGGTAGATATCTACTATAGATTAGACGACGTAGATAATAACGCCTCTTCTTAGGACTCCGTATTAGTATACTATAGCGAAGTTCCGCTACTATCGCCCTTTTCTCTATATATCGGCAAGCACCTTCCTCTAGCTATAGAACCCTTCGCTACGATACAGCCTTTAAAGTTCTTATACTTAAATTGTAGCGCGAAGTTCGATAGCAACAATCTCTTATAGGACTATAGACGTACTAAGCACACTACGGAGCTAACGCCTAAGAAGGATAGCGTAGAGGGGGACGCTAGGCTTATTAAGTCCGCTATATTACTAAAGGTTAAGGGAGGATACGCGTTTCGAAGCTATTATTATCTGCGTATAGTCGTGCGCCTATAGAAGGACGGTACGGAATACGCGGTTTGCCTAGATATAGGCGCTACTATATTACTTATCGATAAGGCTTTCCTACGCTAGATACGCCCGGACATCGAGCGTAAGCGTTTAGTAGCTCTACTAAAGGTTAAGGGCGTAGGTTCGACAGACATTAGCGAGTACGTAGATCTCGATTTTTAGGTACCGGGAATCGTTAAGGGCTCTAAGGTTATCGCCTATATGCGTTATAAGGTACACGTCGTTAAGGAGCTTGGCGCTAAGTTTCTTATAGCAATAGACATTATCGGCCCGGAGGGCATTAAGATTGATATACTATACCGTACCGCAACGATCAATTCCTATAAAAAGGCGAAGATTCCCCTACTAGTAGGCCGCAAAGATTACGTTAAGTTCCGTACGGTTGTACACTCCGGCGATAAGAACGTCGTTCTAGCACCGCAGACTATAACCTTAGTGCCTATCTAGTTTAGAACAGACCTTCCTATAGATCGAGATATAGCCTTCTACCCGTAAAACTAGGAGCTTAAGAATAAGGCCCTAACTATCTACGCCGCCGTCGTAGACGCCGTAGTAAATTTCGTATAGGTCCGCAACGATACGGATTAGCTATAGACTCTGCTACGATATACGAAGATAGGGTACATACGCGAGTATAACTACTACGGCTACTACTATATCGCGCCTAAAGATTACGGCGTAGCCGGCCTTCCGCTACCGGACCTGCCGAACCCTA